CATTTTCATCCTCATCCCCTCCAACGATTTTCTTCCTCCTTGGACGATTATCAGCCGTGTTTGCACTGATAAGGGACTCTATTTTTTAGGTTAGTCCTTTTTTTTATTAGCTTAGTGCAGATCGGTGTTCATTGTTCTGGATATATATTACGTTAAATCGGATTCACGCTAGAACTAATTGATACAGACCAGAAGAAGATCTTTCATTTTATTATGGGTCTAGGGGAGGACATTCAAGGGCCTATGGAAATCCGTACATTTGGCGACTATGCTACCGCCCTAAAGGCAGTCACCTTATTGGACATGCACCATCAGAAGATAAAAAAAAAGAAAAAAATGGAGTAGGCCTCTCGGGACAAAAGTGAGGTTAGATAGAAATTCCTCTGAGTCTAAAGAAATTCCTGAGTCTAACAAGAAACCACAAAAGAAATTAGATAGCAGAAGGCCGCCACAAAAGGAGAAACCCGTATGCCCTAAGAGTAAGAAGAAGCACGATGGGTACTTCTTAGTAGTGATGAACACACACCTAGTGTGGCATAGAGGGCCACATGATCGCAAATTGCACATACAAGAGGGATTATGGTAATAGACTTGCGAGTCAAAACTAAAACTAGCCGCAACAAAAGAACCAAAGCCATTGTACATGCTACTACGACCATGTGGGGAGAATTTATACGCCGGTTGTAGCAAAAGGCCTCTTATTCGACCTTCTGTATCGCCAGAAATACAATGTGCTTCAGGTTCGGCATTTGTGTCTACAACTAGGCCTTTTTGCTATGCTGCTGGCTACGTCGTTTCTGGGGTCACTGACAATATAAAGTGCAGACCGAAAGAGGTTCTTGTCGTGGGAGAGAATACTGCGTCCCGTTCTAAACTCAAGCCTATTCAAAATTTGCTTAATGAATAAGAAGAGGGAAGCATCACAAGGAACTCTTCTCATTCTGTGTTTTTAAGCTTCCTTCACCCATTGAAGCTTCTATGAGTTGGCTTTCCTCCCCTGCAATGAGGAGGATGATGCTCACAAAGAGAAGTCTGAAAATGCTTCACCTCATTCTCAGAATCTTGCTGAATCCATCACAATTTGTACCCTTGAATTTCCATCATCTATCAATGCATTTCCTCCTCACATATACAGTCCTCTAGAGTTTCAAGGTGTGTTGGAGCCATTATCCTTTGAGGATATCTCACCCTCGTGTGCCCCTAATTGCTTGGATGTGATTGTAAAGGAGGGAAAAGGTATGAACTCAATGGGAAGAATTCTCCATTCTGATTGACTCGTTAAGTAGTGAAAATATAATCCAGACACCACAATCAGACACTTGTTCAACTCAAAAAGTTTCCACTTCATGGTCAATTGCGGACATATATGAGAAACATGATCATAATTTGGTGTCTGAATTGTTTTCACTACCAAATCTATCACGAGATAGTCTTAAAGAAATAACGAGTATAACAAATTTGGGTTTCCAATTTGATTATCTAGGTACAATATCCAATTCCATTGATCTTAATCAATTTAAGAAGATTCTTGATGATCAAACTTTTAGGAATAGTAATTTTTCTTGTGAGGATTTAAATCCTATATGAGAGTATCGTGTAGGGAAGACTTATAATGAGTCGTATCTACGGGATGGACGAGTTTGATAGTTGCCGATGATGGTTATAAGATGAAGAAGAAGAGAGTGTTGATTCTTGCATCATTAGGTTGTCAGATATCGTAAAGAGACCTCTATAGAACACAATGATTGTGGGGATGATCCTACAGTTTATAATACTTATCGTTCTCCTAAACTATTATTAAATGACAAGACCAACGAATATGAAAAATGTAAAATGCAGTCTCGTCGACTACCAGATGGAGGTGGCTTGGTTACCTCATGGAATTCGTTTCGAATTTATGTTACAAAAATGGATTGTTTGATTCTAAACAGTTAACCCTGGGTGTTTCATTCCTATTCCTATTCCTTTTTTCCAACCGAATAAATGTTAGCATAAAAAATGGATTGTTTGAGAAAGAATGGTTTCTCAACAGATTGCAATGGTGTACATGGTCTGGGTTGGGTTAGATTGAGGGATTTTTTTGACTCAAGTTCTAGTTGGTTGGATTGATAATCTATTTTCAGGTTGGGGGTTGGGTTGTCTTGTCAAATTTTTTTTTAAAGTTTTATTTATCCATAATTTATAATTATTCTCCTATAATATTAGATAAAATATATTAGACAAACACAAATCAATTTTTAATTATTAAAAAAAATCAATAAAAAACAACGAGGGGAAATTGTATTATATTAACATAATTCAACCTCGTATAAAATTAGAGTTACCTAAATACCTACATTTCTTTAGAATTGGTTAAAGTAAGAAAATATAAGGAAAGATAATGAAATTAAATAAACTATAGGAGTGATTAGTCGTATATAATAATAATAAAAAATACTGTAAAAATATTATAATTGAAATATGCTTCCCTTGATAAATTAGAGAGCCTTAGAGAGCCTTAGTTTATAGGGGAAATAGGAAAAGTCGAATGAGTTCCATCAGGTTCAGTAGGTAGAGGTTTGGGGGCAGGTGAAAGAGCTGATTCTCCAATTGACCTTGTTTACCGTGAAAGAATAGAGGTTGGTTAAGTGCAAGAAGAAAGAAATAGGGAGTTCAATCTCATTCATTTCATATGCTTTCTTTACCGTCTAGTAGTATAAGAACAAGAACATCAGGTAATATATAGGGGCAATGGAATAGCTTTACCAAGTTGGGTAGAGGTTATGGATTAAATTGACTCTCTCATGTATAGATTCAGGAAGAAACGAGTTTACGAGGTTACGGATTGAATTGATTCTCTCTCTCATGGTCCGGTTCAGCATTGAATTAATTTACTCTCAACTATTAGAAAAATAAATATATATAAAAATTGTGATATAATAATATTGCAACAAATAGATAATAAATACATTACAATCTAGAATTACTTTTCTTAGTTTAATAACAAAATATTTAAATATTTTAAAACTAATTTTCTATCCATCCAATTTTGTTTTTAAGGGTTAAAAACTTCTAAAATAATTAAGAATTTCTTTGATCCATAAACTACAGTATGACACTAGAATGGTTAAAATTCTAAAATAATTAAGAATTTCCTTACTGTTGATCCCGAACCTACAATAAGACACTAGAAACTCAGGCGTGAGTGTCTTTAGAGAGGCCGAGGTACCACTTTGGTAAATCTATTAATACATAAAAATTCTTAATATATTTTATATATTTTTATATGGTTCGGATCAACTTGAAGGTTTTATTCCATGAACCTGAAATCGAATCGAGTCAGTTTGGGTTTAGCAAAAGGAACCCAACCCTACCCGTAATGTTAATCCAACCCAACCCAATGCTTATAGTTCACGTTGGGTTGGTCCAGGTTGTCGGGATGAATGCACACCCATATTGCAAACACCCACCAAAGGTTACACTAATGATATCCTTTATGTACGCTGACTTACGTTTGTATGATATGAATTTCACTCGACAATTTTGAATCTTCTCTTGGTCATATTATAAAGATTACGCCATGGGTAGTACCAATACGTTCAAGCCCATTGCGTTTCTTCTTACCGACGCATTCGCGCGGGCCTTGTTGGTTGTTCCCAGCACGTGTGTGCACCCATCGTCGCCTGGATCATGTCGCATGCCTTAAATGCAATTTGTGAGCATTCTATATTGACTGTGATCCTACAAGCACTAATGCACTAGATCTCATCAAAACTCTCCAGTCAAGCGTGCTAGGTGACCACTTGGGAAGTACTTGTGTTGTTACCCTTTTTTTATCTCTATTTTATTCTATTACTCGTTAATTCATTTTCTCCCCGTTCTTTTCTTCCTTTCTTTTCAAATGGCAATTGCCCCCGTTGGTACGCTCACACCCATCGCGTTTCTTCTCTCTAACCTATTTGCACGGGCCCTGCCGACCGTTCCCAACACGTGCGTCACTCACCCTCGCCTGGATCAGATCGCCCCGCATGCGTTAAATGAAATTTGTGCACATTCCATTTTGGGTGTGATCATCCCAGCAGTAATGCACAGATCCGATCAGAACTCCGCAGTCAAGCGTGCTTGGGCGACCACTTGGGAAGTCCTCATGTTTGCACCCCTTTTTTATTTTAATTTCTCCCCATTCTTTTCTTCCTTTCTTTACAAATGGCAACTACCCACGCTCGAAGCTCATGCCCATTGCGTTGCTTCTCCACGACACATCTGCACGGGCCCCGCCGGTCGTTCCTAGCACATGCGTTCACCCACCATCGCCTGGATCATGTCCCCCGCATGTGTTAAATGCAATTTGTACACATTCCAATTTGGGTGCGATCGTACCAGCACTAATGCACCGAATCCCATCAGAACATTGCAGTATGGGTGACCACTTGAGAATTCCTCGTGTTGCACCCCTTTTTATTTCTATTTTATTTTTTACTCGTTATTTCAATTTCTCCCCGTTTTTTTCTTTGTTTCTTTACAAATGGCAACCTATAACGACCCTAAATTTTACCTATTTAATCTAAGGTCAAGTCCATTTCAGGTGCGATCATTCCATTACTAATGCAACAGATTCCATCAGAAGTTGGGTGACCACTTGAGAATTCCTCGTGTTGCACCCCTTTTTATTTCTATTTTATTTTCTACTCGTTATTTCAATTTCTCCCCTTTCTTTTCTTCGTTTCTTTACATTGGCAACCTGTAACGACCCTAAATTCTACCTATTTAATCTAAGGTCATTACTATACCTTGAAATGTAGAATTTACATTAAATGGGCTATTATCTCATAAATGCGCCTTACGCTAGCCTTTTATTACCTCGTGAAAAACAAATACAAGAGAAAGAAAGGAAAAAGAACAACACTGAAACAACTGTCTTATACTACCCTATGGTTTGTTGTGCGATTGCAATTCAATCTATTCTAACCTATACTAATGATGCAAACGAGAATTCAACCTAAACTAACCTATACTTTGAATGCAAACAAAACTCAATCTACACTAACCTATACTACGAAATGGAAAACAACTATCCTATGCATGTGCCACAGTCTTGAGGTGTGCGATGCCGCCGTCAATCTCACATGGGTGGCTTGCCTTTATCTGAAAAGTATAGTAGCACGAGACTTGAGTATTTCTAGAATACTCAGTAAGTGACCCCCTATCGGGGTTATGCAACAATCACATGCAATGCGATGATGGGACCTATCTTTTAATTTGTCTTTCTACGGTGATATTCTAACGGGTAAATTTGGACGTGTACCATATACTCTACACACAACTCATACGTGCGAGTATGGGCTCACCAGCCAGTTCGCACACCGCTGGGTCACTTGCCTTGTTGGGCAAGCATACTCTGGGAGCTCCTTAGGCTGGACACCCGTTAGAACTAGTAACCGTCACGGCAGCGCTATGTAAAACATAACGATCATTGCCTTGCCATTGGATGTACGCGTCCGTACCCTCGTGATGGAATAGAGGTATCCCTCAAATGCATGAACACACATAATGCATGAGGTCCCCGATATTTGTACTTTTATCATTAATGAATATAACCTCATTATCATCTTTCATGGTTAACATGTCATTTCTCATTTCAGTCTACGTATCATACATATTCCTAACGGGGTTATATTTCATGCAACTTACTGTATTTCATGTCATACATTTCATGCTGTTTACATTCAGATATTTCATACAATCATGCCATAATCATTTAAGAACATCATAAACGTTGTAAGCACTACATATCACATCATACTAAACAGCATACATTCATGTTCACAAGATTACGTACTTAAGCACAACAGTCTAGCATACAATTTTAATGACACGTGCGAATCCACGGGCACGTGCCAACATACAACAAACAACGCGTAACCTACGATGGGTGAGCCACTTACTTGGTAGGCCTTAGCCGAAGTACTCCCTAAAATATAAACGTAAGCTCCTAGCTCCTCGTATACATCCTACGCTTCCGTTGGTGGTTGGTTCCTATTGGTCATTCGACACCTTCATTAGTATTTCACAAACATAATTAATTTCCAACTTGAATTTGTGAAATACGACCTTAAAATGATCTATTTTACCTTAAACGGGGTCGAAACTAAGTTCGAGAGGGTTGGAACGGTGACAAACGGGTTGGAAATAGGTTTCTCGAGCCGAATAAGCCGTCAGGGCCAAGAAGTTGTCGCTGAGCCGATTAAGCTGCCGAAGCCGAGGGGTGTCGCGCTGCAGACGTGCCACGTGGCACAACCAGAGGGCAACGCGTGTGCAGCGGTATCAGGTCGAGGCGCAGGTTGTCGGGTCGAGCGCGCGGGTTTTCGATTGCAGTCGCGGGTCTAGGTTGACCGCGAGTGATGGACCGGGCCTGGACTAAAAGGAAACGTCTGTAGGTCGGCTAGGCTGTGAGCGTCGGGTGTTGGTTTGGGCTTGCGGGTCTCGGGTCGGCTGGGTTTTTGCTCTCGAGTCGTGGCTAATGGGTTAGGCTGTAATTGGGCTGAGGCGATTGGGCCGCGGGAGTGTCGTCGGCTGAGGTTTGGACGAGTGGGTTGGACTCGGTTCAGGTTGCGGGAGTCTGGCCTTCTGGTCAGACTTCGTCTTCTTCGCCCGGTTACACAAAGTTTTTCGGTGACCTCTCTCTCACCTCGGTAACGTCGTTTCGACGTCCTTTTTCCCTCTTTTTTTCTCCGTTTTCGAGTCTCCTTCTCCCTCTAATTCCGTTTTTGGTATTTGTTTGGTTTGTAAAGGTCTATTACTCCCGGATCTGAGAGGGTTCGAAAATCCGACGTTCTGTCTCCCTTGCCTGATGGTGTACAACGTGTAGGATTCGTCTAAATCTACCCTTGGTGTGTGTAAAAGTCTCTCGGATTACTTTCGTTGCATAAAACGGAGGTTTCGATGTTGAATTCGTAGGGTTTGGTTCTTCCGGAGCTTCGTCGGATTTTCTCACTGTCTTTCTCATTTTCTCACTATTTTTCTTCTCGTAGGTGTCTTGGAGGTGGCTGAAGGTCGTGTTTGGTTTTCGTGGTGACCCCAACCTCGGGCGCCCTTTGTGGGTCGTATGCGAACGAAAACTCTACCGGAGTTTTCGATCCTGCCGATGACCGTTTTTTTTTTTCTGATCCGTTACACAACCACCCCTGCTCGTATGTTCACACCCATCACGTTTCTTCTCCTCGACGCGTTTGCGCGAGCCCCACCAGCCATTTCCCAGCACGTGCGTACTCTCATTGTTGCTTGGATCATGCCCCCGCATGCGTTAAATGAAATTTCTACGCATTCCATTTCTGGTGCGATCATACCAACACTAATGCACTAGATCCCATCAGAACTCTGCAGTCAAGCGCACTTGGGCGAGAGTAGTACTAAGTTAGGTGGCCACTTGGGAAGTCCTCGTGCACCCTTTTTATTTCTATTTTATGTTTTACTCATTATTTCAAAGATATCCAAGTCTCAAATTCCAAGGTGTGGACCAGGAAATGCTCCTTGAATAAAAAAAGAAGTTTGGGACTAATCTAGTGAATGGTGGTGGGTCTGGTTGTTCCGAGGATAGCTTTATGGTACGACTATTGGCCTTGACGCTAAGTCACAGTCTTATTCCTTCCTGGAATCTAGGCACCACAATGTTCACTCTTCCATCTTCAGCTGGTCTATTCTACACTCTCCTAGCAGCATTCGTTCGTCTGAACGTTGGGATGGGATGCTAGTTGGTGCATCTTTGTTGGCTCTGATCAGCAGAGGTTGAGGTGCATTGATCCGACTACAAAATCAGTATCTCCACATATCGTTTTCGATGACGCATCATTATGGAGGTCCTCCAAAAATATAATATTGCTGGATTCCATGATGCTAGACTTTCCGTATGTGGGCATAAACACCTGAGCAATGATAAAATGGAATTTAGAGGGACCTCATTCATAATGTATGTTCATAAGCATAGAGATATTTCCCTAGAGACGATGAGTGTGGACGCACACAATATGATGATAAGGGTGTTCATAAGGAGCATGACATTATGGGGTTCCGCTAACCTCTGGACGCTACTACAGATTAGCTTGATCAGAGAGTCTAGGGGGTGTGCGAGCCACCTAGAGATTTACACTCGCATGTGTGGGTTGTGTATATGGAAGTACTACACATACAATTTTTTTGAGACTAGAGGTCACCCCTAGAGAATAGAGATAGGTCCCAAGAGCATGATTGCATGTGTTTGCATTTGCATTGTAACGATCCTCAACTTTCCTATTTAATCTAAGGTCATTAATGTACCTCTATCGGTACATTTAATGCAGAATTTAATTTAAATGAGCTTTTATTATAATTGAAACATTAATTCCTCATTTATTACCTTGTGAATAAATGAATACAAAGGAAAGAAAGGAAAAACGATGAATGCAAATGAAATTCAACACATACTAACCATGAATGGAAAGCAATCTATCCTATGCATGTGTCATGGTTACAGGGTTTGCGAAGTTTCCGTCGATCTAACATGGGTGCCTTGCCTTTATCTGAAAATGTAGTAGCACGAGGCTTGAGCATTTCTAGAATACTCAGTAAGTAACCCCTATCGAGGTTATGCCACAAACACATGCAAATGAGATGACGGGTCCTATCCTTCAATCTGTCTTCCTTGGGTGTACGCCTCCGTACCCTCGTGATGGAATAGGGTATCCTCCCAATGCATGAGCACACATAAGTGCATGAGGTCCCCAATATTTCTACTTTTATCATTAATAGATATAACACTGCTATCAGTTTCATTTGTATCATGTTACTTCTCATTTTCAGTGCTTCTATCATGCACAATCCTAACGGGGTTATATTTCATGCTAAAGTTTGTATTTCATGTCATACATGTCATGTTGTTCACATACAATTTGAAAAACATAACATTATATTTCATGCTTTCATTATAACATATTATGACATGCAATTCATACCGAAAACATCTCAACGATCGTATAATCATTCTAAACACTACACATCACATCACATTATATCTTACATCAAGTCATTTCAGAAACAACATACGTTCACATTTCATACTTTTACATATTAAATGGTAACAGTCTAACATACAATTTATGGCACGTGCGAATCCACGGGCACGTGTCAACATACAATATACAATTGTGTAACCTACGACACTAGAGCCACTTACTTGGTGGGCCTTAGCCAACGTACTCCTTAAAATATATACGTAAGCTCCTAGCTCCTCATATACATCCTACACTTTTGTTGGTAGTTGGTTCCTATTGGATAGTTCGACACCTTTGTTAGTATTTCATAAACATAATTAATTCTTAACTTGAAATTTGTGAAATACGACCTTAAAATGACCTATTTTACCTTAAACAGGATCGAAATCAAGTCCGAGAAGGGAGGAACAGTGTCAAATAGATTGGAAATAGGGTTCCCAAGTCGAGAAGCCGTCGTGGAGCCGCAGAGCCGCCCCCGAGCCGATCATTCGCCAGAAACTAGGGGGTGTTTGCGCCAGAACCAAACAAGTGGCATAACCAAAATCGGCCGCGAGTGCAGGCTGAGATCAAGTTGAGGCACGGGTCGTCAGGGGAATTATGGGTTGTGATGGTTTTCGGTTGGGCCGAGGCATGGATTGAGTTGGGCCGTGATCCTTGGGCCGTGGGAGTTTGGACCGAACAGGCTCATAGATCACGGGTTTTCGGTTTGAGGGGCGAAACGCGGCTATGAGGAACGGAGCTCTGCCGAGGCTGTCTGTGGGCTACAGTGGGCTAGATGCAAGGGATCGCATTGGCGGTGTGGGTATGACTCGGGTCCGGATCCTGATGGTATTAATATAACACATTAGGCACTTTTAGAACATCAATTATATTAAATAACTAGCATGTTCATAAGTATTAAAACTTAATGAGTTTGAATACTAACCTTTTGTAGTTTAAATTCCTTTTTCCTCACGAACCGGTTTCGAACCATCACTAGTGTCTTCTCCACTATCCTCCGGCCTTAGAATGAGATTGTGGAATCTGGAGAGTGACTAAACTTGGGAGGGATTTTGTATATATGAAGAGAGTGTTTGTGAGAGGTTTTTCTCAAGGTTTTCCACCGACAAGAAATTTCACTCAAATGTTTGGGATTATGTGGCAAGCATGCATGCTTGAGTTAATCAAATTTTGACACTCAAAATTCCACTCAAATTTGTGGGGTTTATTTGGCAAGCATGCAAGTTTGGTTAAACCAAATTTTGACACCTCAAAATTCCACTAACATCGATTTTTCCATAAGTCAACATTTTGGCTTTCTTCCTTTTGATTCAACAATCAATTTGAATTATTAATTTAAAATTAAAGTAATATTAAATTATTAATTAAACTATTTAATTAATATTTAATATTAATTCAAATGCCAATCTCAATTAATTCCGACACATATTTGATTAAGATATTTAAATCTTATTTAAATAGCTCAGATTCTCCCTTGTTTAATTCGTAAATAAAACAAAAATGCGGTTACATATATCGTATATATGTAGCGCATTCTCCCTAATTTGAATTCGAACACTTCAAACTCACTCGTCACACTGTTTTATGGTTTAGTCTGATATAAGCTAGCAGAGGGACCTAATGGACCTATAGATCATGGGCTCCAACGATCCAAGATTACCCAGTTAAGCTCATTAACCTTGTTAACCAACATTCGTTAACTACTAAAACATTCTACTATAGCCTAGTAGTTGCACTCCCCTCACTATAGATATATTTCTGTCCATTTGATATAACCATGATTAGTAAGTCGATCATTCACAGGTTGTTCGTAACTAGAGCTGGGTCAATTTACCGTTTTACCCTTGAAGTTACTTCTTGTTTCTTATGTCTCACTGATCTTTTAATGAACAATTGGTTTGTGGTCCAACCAGTAAATTGAATCCCTCTCAAGCCAATGAGTGGGTGGGGCCCTTGTTCAAGACCTGGAGTCAGTACTTAAGGGAACTACCTCTCTTCTATCCCTAAAAGTGGGTAGGAGCGAATTCCATCTTGCATCCCCGTCCCCATCTATTCACCCAGTCTTACCCCTGAAATGGGAGGCTATTGAGTCGGCGAACTCGAGCTACTCTCACCCATGCAAATCTAAGGATAATTCCGAATGAACAGGAGTTCATGGTTAGCTCATGATTAAGATCGAGTTACATAGG